CCCTCCCTGAGACCTACTTTCGTGGGATCTTATTGTGTTGTATACTCACACATTTTCAATTGGTAATACTCCGTAATAACTTATTTCAGATTGTATTGAAAGTAGACTTGTGCAAACAAGGGTCGGCCCGTTCGGTCCGCCCAGCCCGCCCTTTAAAAAGGGCGAATATGGACAACCTTTAATACCTAAATGGGCGGGCCGGCCCAAGCCCGAATTGTATATGGGCGGATATGGAAGTTATTTTTAGCCCATCTAGGCCCGCCCATATTCATCAATTATATTTACTTTATTATTAATTACTTAGCCAATACAAATTTTAAAATTTTCTATAATTCATGTATAATAATTTAATTCACTCACCTCTTTTAGACAACAATCAATACTCTTTTAATGAATTAGTATGATGAGTTTATTAATTATGCAATAATATCTCTATTATGCTTTCTATATAAATGTGGTGACTCGTTATTTTATTTTAAAAATTAAAAAGTGTTCAATGTTTTTTTTAATTTTTTTGTACAAAATAAATTTTCTTGATGTTTTATCCGGGCCGGGCGGCCCGGTGGGCAGTCCGGCCCGCAAAGATGGGCGGGTATGGGTAAAGAATTTAGCCCATCAAATACTGGCCGGGTCAGGTCCGCCCATGTAAATGAACTAATAATTTATATAAAGCCCGACCCAGATCTGGCCCGGATCCTTATTTGCACAGGTCTAATTGAAAGTAAGAAATCTAGTTAGATTGTGAGAGTTTAATTCAACTCTTAGAATGTTCCAAGGAATTTTTCTTCTCCTATATTGATTAACCAGGTCCCTCGGACTACATATACCGGACCTCATGCCCGCCAAGCGCCATGGGAAGGTACACCAGACCTGCCCAATGTTGGCTAGTTTTGGGCAGCTCTCTGTATTTGGACACACACAAGAAAAAGAGACTGGAAAAAGCTTTAGTACTATAGCATAGGTAGTGCCTATCTGGGCTTTTCAATTTCTTCTTCCTTCGCAACCTCTTCATTGTCGCTCTTCTTTGTGGGAGGTCCCCTGGCGATCGGCATGTCATTCTCACCAAACGTCTTTGGTCTCGCATGGTCAACAAAGATAACGCGCCCCTGTAAAGGCTGCAATCAAGTATACAAGATTCAATGCGCTAATAATACATTCACGTATGTATAAGGACATCCCAATGCACAAAACACAGCGAGGGTCCGGGAAAGGGGCCCACCAGAAGGGTGTGCTACAAACAAACCTCAAATTGCATTTTTTGCAAGATAGCCCTTTACTAGAACTCTAACACTAAGTGTTTATGTCATCAAAGTTTTGCCTCGTGTGACCTTAACCTTCTTATCATAGAATAATGACACGAAATTCAAAAGGTGTCATTTTAGAGGTTTTTCTTTGCATGTGCATCGGGCTTCATGTATATACATAATCTACACAGATGGGCATATACCTTCCCATTCATTTCTGTAAGGGCCGTCTCTGCCTCATCGTGCGATGCATACGTGACAAACCCAAAACCCTTTGATTTTTCTGAGACTCTATCAGTGACAACTTTAGCTGAAAACAAAAAAAACACACACACACAGTGGTTATACTCCAATTTAGGTTAAAAGAACAAACAGTTTTGTCCCAAGCCAGAAGGTCGAACCTTCAATGACTTGTCCATACTGAGAAAATGCCTCCGTCAATACCTTATCTGTGGTGAAAAATGAAAGGCCTGCAATGCAACAACTTTTACCGAGAGTTTATGAACAAATGGGTATAGGTACATAAAATACATTGCAACACTATTAACAGAAATTACCATGAGTTTACACAAACAAGCATAAACTGAATCCAAAAAAGTCTGACCGGAGATGGAAAATGTTCAACCGAAATATGCTTAGAAAACAGTTGGAAAGTTGAAAAGGCCGACCATACATGGGGTTTATGAAAAGGAGAAACATGCATAACTCGAGATGACATTACACTTCCTTTGTTTCTTTTTCATAAAGCTTTGGGGTGTAAATCAAGCAATGCATCAAGGGTCTAATGGAAATAACTTTACTTTTTTTTACAGGGTAATGTTCCCGTACATCTTGACCCATATCTCAATGTCATAAAGATGAAATGACTCAAAAAATAGTTGGAAGAGGAAGATTAGAAACATGGATTGATTTAGAAAAATTTGAGACCACACCATCTTGTGAATGGCACCAACAAATTTGGCATTAAGGCCGGGTTTAGTCAGTCAAATTAACAATTAAGAAACTTTCATATTGAAAACAAAAATTGAAGCTTTATTGTAACCAAAAAGAGAAATCGAAAACAATCATATTTTTGCAATAACAATTACAGTTAAGTAAAAGCAGCACAATGAACAAGACACACAAAAACAAAATGATCTAAACTAGTAAATCTGGAAGTTTAATGCAAACCAATTAACCAAAGCATCAATCCGGCATCCAGAATTCCTAATCATAATTGACAATTATGCAGTAAGATAAAAAAAATAATCATAATCTTTTCCTTAAACACACTGTTCATTTCATCTTGTTTGAACTCAATTATTACAGACTAAAATCAGGAAATAAACTCAAACCCACTATATTTTGAGAAATCATAAGCCACAAATCTACATTCTTTTGTATATATTCCTTAATCGACGCTGACTTCCATGAAAACTCATAAACCTAGTGTAAAACTGAAATAGGAAATCAATTAGAGCTTGGAAGAGAGACCTCCGACGAAGAGCTTGGAAGCGATGCCTCTCCGAGAAAGAAAGAGAAAGGCGGAGGGTTGTGAGAAATGAGTTGTTACGTTCTGAAGCCTTCTCAGAGCGGCCATAATTTACCCGCCGTTCTTGCTCGCACGGGAGAGAGCTGCCCTGGTTGTGTTTTTGTGGAAAATACTCATGTGAAATTTTGGGGTTTTTAAATCCAAGCTACACCAAAAAAATATATATTTCAAATTGTACCCAAAATGAGAAGTAGCAGTATTTTTACGGTTGACATTGTCACAAAATATTAGTTCAATAAAAAAAGTATATTAACATTTTGTGTCATTTTAAACTATCACACTAACATTACACTATTACAAACTGTTGGTACATACCTTCGGGATATAATTTTTTCGCTACACATAGTTAATTCATTTTTAAACAAGAGTACTACCTTTTCCAGGTGTATTCGCTTGTTTAGTTATTTTCAGTCTATCTAGACAAATTTTTTCTTCAATTAAATAAGAAGAATTTTAATTTTATTTGTATAAAAAAATTCTTAGATTTATATTTTGAGAATTTTGACAATTTTATTTAATTATATTACTCTGTAATATATTATGCAAATAAAGAGTAATTGAGATCCAAAGATACCAAGTTTGACTTAAGTACTCGAAGAAGTGTATTTTTCTTAAAAAAAATATTTCAAAACTACATATTAATCACCAAGAATCATAGGTATCATTTGAGAAAGAGTAAGTACCAAACCTATTCTTTTCATGTGAATACTTATAAACTACATATTGATCACAAAGGGTCATAGGGTATTATTAGGGGAGAGCAAGTATAAACCAATTCTTAAATTTCTCAAAGAAATTACAAAAATCAAACTATAAAATATTAAATTGAAAAACAATTGCAAAAAATTGAGTCAAACAATGGGTTCGGTATTTGAGAGTGATACAAAGTAACTTCTCATTTCAAAAATCTCGAATCAAACATATATACTTATTATAAATATATAAATCTTTTCATAATTTTACTTTATTTGCTTTAAATTTTCAATCTTTAGATAAATTCAAAAACATTAAGAAGCATTTGAAATAGTATTTTGTTATTATTTGTTCTTTTTCATTTAAGAAATACTTTTTCGTTCCAAAAAAATGTCATATTACTCCCTCCGTCCACTATAGATCTTCTCAAGTTGACCTTTTATGATTTTTAAAGAGAGTTAAAAAAAGGGTGATAACTCCACCCAATTTTATTAAGGGAGTAATTTTGGTTTTTAAGCTACAATGTGGAATTTTCTAGAAAAGTATAGAAGCCTCTAGAATTATGTAGAAGAATGTATAATTTTCTAAAAATTCAAGAGGTTTTTAGAGAAGTATGAAAGTCTCTAAAAAAAAGTGTGTGGAAAAATGTAAAATCCTTTAGAGTGTTATTAACCTAAGTGCATTCCTCTAGATTTTTTTCTAGAATATTATAAAAAATTCTAGAGATGTAGAAAAATGTGAAGTATTCTAAAAAAAATCTAGTCTTGAAAATGAGTATAAAAAATATGTGGATGTCTTTTTTGGCAATCCAAGTGTGAAGAACCAAGAAGACTTTTAAGAGTGCTTGAAAATAAGGTGGAGAATTTTTTGTAGAAAATAATAAAGGGAGAAAATATTTTTGTATTGAATTGTCTCGAATATTACAAAGGTTCAATCCTCTTTATACAGAAAAGTGGTAAAGTAAATATATATAAACTTTGATTTCTATCTTAATTTTATTCCGACTATAACAAAAATAGGAAAAATTAGGAAAGTCACCAAACCAAATCCCAAAAAAATTTGATTCCCTTTTCTATTTTTCTCTCTCTCGTACCACCCCCCTCAAGCTTGAGTGCGAGGATTACAAGTATCCAACTTAAACAACACATAATCAAATGGTCTATGTTCAAGTGTCATCTGAACATTTCAACAAATGATTTTCTTCGTCCTCAACGGAGGCGTCATTCTTTTTGAATCCGCCGAATAATCAATCGAGTAATGGAACGTCATTCTTTTAGAACCTTCACCGAATTCAAACGAACAAGACGAGCGTCATTCTTTTCGAACATCCTGAAAGCCATTTTAAAAAAAATTGTCTGCACTCTGCACATTACGAAATTGTCCGCTTCGTGCAGGACAACCCTTGTCGAACTCTTTCTTCTTGATTAGTGATTGTGATTCCTCAGCAGTCATGTTCTTTGCCAAGGAGAAACAACCATCTGTCATACCAACTTTATGGACGTAGATGGCTATGCCGGTTGAACACAACAAATAGACACGCTTAGCAATTATTCAAGAGAAAAACAAAAGAAAAACCAACATCTCAATCCGTGTCGTCAATTTGCTTTTAAACTTTAAAAGAATACATTGTTCTTGGACAAATACTACTATCAAACACATCATAAAAATAATGCAAGCAGTGTCTCACACACACACGCACCCACGAAATGCTTCTTTTCCCAATGAGAAAATAGACCCCACACAACCCTACCATTGATCGCATTCTGTAATGCCCAAAGAGTAAGGTTGAGGACAATGCACTCCAAATCATATACAATTTCACACCAACATTCACTGTACGATAAAATACATGAAACTAAGGTGATTATGTATACTCAGTTCCACAGAGAAGGCCGAAGAGAAACCTTCAAATAACGCTCGCCATAAGATCATATGTATTCTCCCGCCCACCTTGTGTCTGCCTAAGAAGACATGGACCTTATCACATAAAAAATTATTGTGGGGATAATCACTTATTTGACTTCTTAGAAATGCCTAGAGGGCATGTTGGAAACAGTTGAAGGTTTTAAAGTCACCTTGTTCATCAACAGGCTCATGATTGGTGCACTTTTGACAGTGCTTGGTAGACCAAGTCGATAAACTGATTGTCCTGTCATTAGAACAAAAAGAGAATGACACTCCTTGATGAAACATCTAGTTTCTTCATCATAGAATAATTGATCGTGTGAACTATATGGAAAGACATAAATTTACCTGAACCAGCATTAGAAGTGCATCTCGAACTTTTTCTCTGTTCAGAGTCGCATTAGTAGGAGGAGGAGGATTAGAAGTGAAAGAGAGTGGTGGTGTGGGAGGGGGGAAGGGTTGAAGCATTGGAGAACCATGTGGGCGTTGCTGCAGATTCAAGGGAGAAGGATTAAGTGCAGGTGTTGCTGGGATAGAGGACAGAATATGGTTCACTGGTAATACAGGTGACATAGAAAGAGGTGTAAAGAAATTGGGCTTGAGAAGACCGGCAACCTGATTGGTTTTGTTCATTGGGTCAGTACCATCGTGGAGAGACAAAACTGAAGGAGCTGATTGCGGTGGAAGTGTTGGGACATGTGGTATGGAGCCAGGTAAACGTGAGGTCGAAGCTGAGGTTTGAGGAGAAGCATAGTACGTTGGCCCAGTATTCGGGGACTTAGAAGAGTTGGCGCCTAAACCTGTGGCTGCCTGCAAAATGAGTAAGCATTACTAATACATTCTCGAGCTCCATTTTAATGCAGCAAAATACGTTGTTGGGGATGTTGTCTACAAAAAAAAGAGCTGTTTAATACTTTTAGGAATAATATAATTTAAAATATTTTCCACGAATAAATAGAGCATTGGTGTATGAATCCCAATATTTTGGGAAACATCATTCAATATGTTTTGGGTAGGAATGATGTATCCTCAAGTGTGAAGTTCTTCAAGAGACGAAGGGAGTATATCTAACTTTGAGGGGCCACTTACATCAAAGAAATTCAAAAAGTTGTCTTCAGCAACATCAGTATGAGTGGGCACAGTAAATGATGGCTCCAGTGGCCCCTCAATCACTGCACTAGTTGGTACTGCCTCAAGTTCTTCATACTCACTGAAGAGACATTTAGAATATGGAATAAAGCCAAGAAAGATTCAATTAAGATAACAGCAAAGAAGATCTCTAGTGATTGAACAATATTGTATTTTTCATAGTTATAGCTTCCGAATGACAAAGACGGGCTTATTATTACAAACAAATTCTTTTATTTTGGGCGTTCCAAGATGATTTTCTCAAATAAAGTGCAACTTTGGTTCACACCACAATTTAACCATCCATTAAGAAATGATGAAATATATGTATATGTGTAAGTGTTGTGAGTAGTCATGTTGCTCTAGTTTACTGCTTACCTTTTGGTTGAACTTAGCTTTGGCTTCGGAGAAACCTTTGAATATGCACTAAGAATCCTGGACCAAAGTTGAGACGTATATTAACGTTAAAGTCAAAAGATTTTATGTAGCTGCGCACACACTAAATATTAAGAAAATTTTGCCCTTGTATGTACAAGTTATCATTCAGTTATCAATTAGGGTTTGAGGCAATTAGGGTTTGTTTTTTTTGGGTTATCACACCACAATTAGGATTTGTTTTTTTGGGTTAAAATTGTAAATTTCCAATTCCAGTTGCTTCAAGCTCCTTCCAATTCCTTCAACTCTTTTCATTATCTATGATATTATGTTAGGCCCATTTTTTATTACACCCTGGCCTATAGAACTTTAAGACCACTCCTGATTATCATTATTACAGTAATTATGATTATTGTTATTATTATTAATTATAAAGGTTAACAAATATTCCCTAATAAAGCAATTGATACTAATGGCACAGATTTTTAAACTTCCAACTCATTCGAACATCCAACTTTATTTATCCAACCCAAAAGAACAAAGCCATGATGCTTTACAGGGAGTGGGCAGATCCTTTTATTTTACAACCTCCGTTCTCAAAAACACTTCCTCTTTCATTTTTTTCACTTTCAACAAAACACTTCCACTTTCTATTAAAAAACCACTTTTACCCTTACTTTTTCATACCCTACCTATCACATCATACTTTTTCTCTAATAATCTACTCATCACATCTTACTTTTACCCATCACATCAAGGGCAAAATTGGAAGTCAACTACAATTTAACACTTCCTTATTTTTCCACTTTTTCAAAGTAGGAACTCTTTTTGAGAACGGAGGGAGTAATATACTACGTATGTAGGTTTCACACCTTCCTCTATAAAAATAACTCCAATGATGAAAACATATTCAAGTAAAGCTTTCAAACAATGTAGGTATGAAGAATTAAAGAAGACTAAGAGGAGTACCAAAGAAACTTCTCTCAATTTATGTTACACAAAGATACTTTACTTGCTTGGAAACAAGCATTTTGGAAACTTAATGCTTGCAATGCTTATGTGCATGCATATGTACACACATCACAAGCGTCTAAATCTATAGGTATCTGCTTAACCAATTCCAGCATTCGCATATAGTTGATGACTATATGCAGTCAAATTTGATTGCAAAAAAAGGGGGTTACCTACTAAATAGATTTCCAACCTCTTCACACTCACGTGAATTGTAAAACCAGATACCATTCACTTCTTGAGCTGCATTACGATATAATAGATATGGAACCTGAATTTCAAATTCAAAATCTCCCAAGAGATCCTCCACCAGATTCTCTGTTGATATCAAAGAAGAAACCATACAAATATGCAATCATAATCAGAAAGAGAACAAAAACACAGTTCGGATAAAATGTGAATGCTTTTTTCAAAGCAGGACTGGAGGAAGATGGCACAATATGTATGTCATGATAGTGCACATTTGCTGCATAAAGTTTTAAGAGAATAGCCTACAGGTCTATTCAATTTTTCCAAGCTAAAACGGAGTTGAGAACCTGATAGGGTTGACTGTACTAAAACCAAATCGAACTTGATTATACCCCCGAATCAATATCTTCCAATGGGATTGGGAAGCACTAAATGATGTTGATCGCTAAAAAGGGTTGATGAAAAAGGATAATCTGGATCAAAAGCTCATGCATGTGCAAGGCTAAGCCATTAAGACCAAATGCCTTACCCTTTTTTAGTAAAAAAGTATTCCTATCCAACACACCATGAGCGAACATGGGATTGAACATATGGCCTTGAGGTCACATGGGAAGAGCTTCACGCATTTACCAATTCCCAAAGTTCTCATTCAAACAACAACAACAACCCAAATAAATCCCACAAGAGTAGGCAAACCTTACCCCTACTCGAAAGTAGGGAGGCTGTTTCCAAGAGAAAAAGTACCCATTCAAGTGAAAGGTAATAAATGATGGTTAAAAAACATAAAGAGGGTGTGGACGTGTGTCGTGTGGTGCTGATATCATCCAAATATATAATAGTGTGTCCATTTGTAAACCAAATTCCATGTTTCCTACATTCTTTACAGAATCGATGCATGTGGTTGTGTTAATGATTCAGAATGGGGTACACACTTCTCATTCCAGTACACATGTGCCCAGTACACACACACACACAAGTTAACATTTGAAATAAACTACTATAGGCTCTTCATGGTGACGAATATGACCTCAGAAAGCACAAGCTTAGCCTAATTATGTGGGTCAAGCACAAAAGAGCTTGCAAGACATCTCACCTTAAAGAGTATGTCCACAAATTGTGTATCATAACATGCACAACAGTGACATAAACGCCCTATAATTTGGAATTACCTCACAGACCTAAACAGAAGTAAAAAGGAGGCATATCATAGATAAAAAAAGAAAAAAAATTAAACTAACCTGTATTCCGGCGATTCATTACAACAAACTGGAACCTTGGCTGGGTATTCCTAAGAAAAAAATTACAAAACCAACTTTGAATTATTATCCATTCTACATGGAGAAACTAGAGCTTCAATCTATGATAAATAACACCAACCCATAAGATGACATGTAAGATAAGTAACAAAAGAAGGCATGATGAAAGACTTAAAATTTGAGCATCAAGTTGTAACTCATAAGGCAATCCCTTTTTGAAGTTCGAACTCTGAACTCAAAGAGCCTGAGTTTACATATTGGTAAAAGAAACAAACTTAGAAAGCATACAAGTATTTCCCGTTAAATACCATCCGACTATATATTGAATATACAATATCCAATCATTGTTGCAAGAGGCACACCACTGCAAGAGTGCACAAGGTACAAGGGACAGAACTCAAAAGGAATGCCTTGGTGAAGGCAACCGCAATCCCCACCTTTTTTAGGTTTCATATGTGGGTCGTGTAATGAAAACACAAAAAGGAAACCTTGAGGCACAGCTTTGTCTCTGGTTTTCACGCACGTTGCCAACAAACCCACATCTCCTCACCAAACCATGTCTGTAGCTTAATTCACAAAGCTGCTTCTCACAGTTTCCCTCATCTCTTTTTCAGTTATCAAAGTTAACTGCTCTTTTCCAGTTCTTCTTCAAACCCTCCCCTCTCCCATTTCCCCTTTTGTTCCCCTCCCAGCCCCTTCTTTTTTTCTTTTAACACCCCTCTGCTCCAACTGTTTATTTCGGAATTCATGCTTTCTGTTTTAATCTTAAGAGAGTAGTTTTTTGCACCTTAGCTTTGTCAGGGTGTGTGCCTTGCCTTCCATCTTAGGCTTCAGAGCACTATTGTCTTAGTGAGCCCTAGTCCTAAGTCCTAACTAGTTAACTAGAGCAGTAAAACCCAAATAATGTGAACTTACCTCTTAACCACAAACAAAGACCCTTCAACATCCTTACGGCTCTGCATCAAAACCACAAGAGAACATATAATAGAAGAGTCATAGTCTCATAGATAAAAAAAACTAAGATACTTAATTCTTGAAATATGAGGCAATCTTTTTCCGAATGACCTTTCGTAGATTGGATTGGTCAAAGGTAGAATTACAATCTTTGCAGAGTAATGCCTTAAAAATAAAAGTTTTATGAAAAAGAAGTATTCTGTGTACTCCAGTGCGTTAAAAATAAAAGTTCGTGAAACAAAAGTATTTTGTATACCCCAGCATAGTTTGTAAGGCGTCGCCTAGGCGATAAGGCGCTGTCAGTGGGACGCCTTGTCTGCTCGCCTCGCCTAGAAAACCTTTAGGCGATCAGGCGCTCGCCTAGGTCGCCTTTCCTTGCCTTACCTCGCATTGATGCCTTGGGCCCCTTTAAAATTTTGAAAAAACCCATTTTTTAGTGCAGCCCATTTTCTTTTAGTGTAGCCTAATAGACTTAAACTTATCTTCTCTCTCTCTCGGTCTTCTCTGTCTTGATCAAGCTTCCTTAAAATGTATAAGACCTCTCTCTCTCTCTCTCTCTCTCTCTCTCTCTGTGTGTGTGTGTGTGTGTGTGTGTGTGTTTGTGTGTGTCTATATGTATGTATGTATGTATGTATGTATGTATGTACCCCAGTGCATGTATGTATGTATGTATGTATGTATGTACCCCAGTGCATGTATGTATGTATGTATGTATGTATGTATGTAGGTATGTATGTCGATTGTCGCCTACTCACCTAGGCGATATGAAGGTACACTGGCGCCTCGCCTTTCCGCCTTACAAACTATGTACCCCAGTGCATACTCCACCTCTTTTGTTGCACGAAATAGTTAAGCCACCTCTTGTTCCCTACCTATTTCATTTATTTTTCTTCAAGTTTTTGTGTTTTGAATTAGGATCTCTTGGAAACAGCCTCCCTGCTCTATGGGTTGGGGTAAAGCCTGCGTACACTCACCCTTCCTAGACACCACTTTGGGGAATTTAACAAGGTTTGTTGTTGTACTCTATATCTCCTAAGTCGTGCTCAATCATATCATATTCTTATTAAGCCTCAACAATCAGATAAACGAGCAATCAATACCAATTTAACCCTACTATGGCTTCTCTTATGCTCTCCAACCAACATTTCAAAAAGTTCCAACATTCGTGCATGAGCCTTAACTTTCAGGGGACTAGGGTATCCAAGAAATGTCTTCAATAGTTATTAGACTATTACTCATACTATATTCACTCTCCTGCAAATCTATCCATTGTGCACTCTATATTTAAGTCTTAGCACACATTCGTTTGAACATGGTCTGATGGGCATCAACAGCACACGTATATTCTTTATTAAATAATTCTTCATTGCAACATTACCTTATGTATAATGAAGATGATTTCAATAAAAAATGCTGCAAAAGGAAACTAGGACACCAGAAGTATCTTTGTCCCACCAATCCATTTGTACATGAAATATCTTTGGATGCTTTCAAATATACAGTATATGTTTTTAGTGTGAATTTATAATGTTAACTAACTTTAAGCATCTAATTGACAATGCAAATCTTATGGCACCGGCCCAAACATGAGTGGGGATAAGTTGCTAGAGATTATGAAAGTAAGCATTGGGACACACACAAGCACAATGTGCCCACGCACACACACAGTTTCATTCATTATTGATCCTCTGGACCTGGAGACCTTTCCGGATTGCTAGATCTCAATGCTTAGTCCTGAATGATGACACACTTCAATAGCCTTTCGTGCACATCATAGGGTTATGCATACTATTTTTAAACAATGTTCAATGAACCAATTCGATCATACATTGCGAGAAGCACTTTCGCCTTAGCCTTAAATATCAATGCCTTCCACATAGCACACCTAGATAAACCATCGCACATCTACTTTCTAAATACTCTAAAATGTGAAAAAGGTTCATTTCCCACTCACCAAGTTACACCACAATCCCTCAATTCAATTCGATTCATTCCCTAAACCAAAAAAATCACAATGTAACACGAACATTGAATACGAGAGAGAAAGGGAATGGAAGAACGAACCCACTGGTTGATCTCGACATTGAACTCGTAGAAGGTGACGTGAGCGGCGGTGATCAAGATCTCCTCAATATAGGGATCAATTCTCTGGAGAACGGTGAGATTGAGAACCTTGGTGCTCCGCTCGTCCAGATTCGGCATCAGCTTTCCCGTTTGGGAAGAAGACATGGCTTCTCCTCCTCCTCCTCCTGCCAGTGAAACACAATCGAAGAATTAACCTGCTTGGCTGGTGCCGCTGGTACACTACTTTCTATAACTAAACCAATTTCACGCCTGGCTGCAACTCTGCTGGCTTCCCAGGTTCAACGTGTTTGTGGCTTAAGTTCAAAATGCTAGTTTTAGGTGACCCGATCTATTTTTTTTTACTTCAAATCCCATTTGAAAATATTGAGTTCTTATAAAAATTTTGTAGGTTGAATTCAAAGATGATTGAATCCAAAATGATAGAATGACTTTGCAATTAATTTAATTAAATTGCAAAGAAAACGTTTTGATTAGTGAAGATGATGTTTTATACTTCCTCCGTCCTAAAACTTTCTTCTCAGTTTGACTTTTCTCCATTTTTAATTTTTAGCTTTGACTTCAAATTTTACCTTCTTTAAAAAAGGTTTTTTAATTTTTTTTTGCAATCATTCAAAATATAGAGTTAGAAGATAATTGGTGTAAATACATGATGGTATTAATGTCATTTGTCATCTTTTTTTTCTAATGAGAAGGTAGTTTTAGGACGAAGAAAAATGAGAAGCGGGAAGAAAGTTTATGAACTTTTTTAGGGGTATTTATTTATGAATTTGGTATTGATTTGTGTCACTCCTTGCATCACTCAAGACACTCATCCAAGCTGGGGCTGGGTGGTTGGGTCAAAGTTTGAGTTGTCTGAATCTGAAAATTATTTTTCAAAAGTCTATCTTGCTTGAAATTTCATTCTAAACAATTTTTTCTTTTAGCCGACTTTAAATTTTGAACTGACATAAGTCAAACAAATTAATTTTGAGTCCAATCATTTCTTTTTTAACTTGTCCAATCCAAACCATTCTTTTTTTAAACTTTTTCAATTTATATAATTTTTAAACCATTCATAAAAATAATATTCTATTTTCTATTATCCTTGTTATTCCTAATTTCCTATTAATATTGATACCATAATATAGAATCACTGTAGAATAAGTAATTATAGTAACAATTGAATAAGGAAAGTAACGTAAATAATATATTCTATTTTCTATTATCCTTGTTATTTCTATTAATATCGATACAAAAATAATTATTTTAGATTTATTTCATAAATATTTCCAAATTATTATCTTATCTAATTAATAATCATATATATTTTATTTATTATAGTCAAAAGTTGAACATTGTTGATTGCAAAAGATCAAAACTAGATAAATACTCAAAGAAGAAATTGTACAAGAATGCCTTTATAAATTAATCATTACCTATTCTTATGGAGTTTAATTAATACATTCCATAATTACCTGAAAAGAGTATTTCATCTAAATAATAAATCTAACATCTACGGTACATTCTCATTTCTTTAATTTCATTGTGAGTCATTCTTACAAGAATCGAACACACACACACACATATAGTTCCGAAATTTAAAGTGGAAACCCATCACTATCTTGGACATAGTTCAGAAATTGATGCTTCATTTAATGTGATAGATTGGCAAAGCTCCATTGGTTCTGCAACATGTATCTCCTCACTCACTCCTTGAAAAAATGCAGGTTCACTAGGCATTGACCAATTATTACTCGAATAACTATTGAACATCAACATTATCTCTTGTATTGTAGGTCTTTTGTCCGCACTTTCTTGAACACATAGTAAACCAATGTGTATACATTGGATGACTTCTTCAATTGTATAACATTCTTTAAGATTTGGATCTAATATCTTTAGAGGTCTTCCATCAATCCATTGCTCCCAAACCTATATAATTTATATCATGACTTCAATGTTCATATGTAAAAAATGGTGTACAATCATCAATGATTGGCTAGGCAAGATGCAACCACATAACTTTTTCTGTAGACCTTTTTGTGCTTAGCCAACTTAAGTGTGTGTTTCTTTTAATTTTTGTTGCAATTGTTTTTCAAAAATGACAAAATGCATTTATAATTGAGATAACATAGTTTTAAAAAGAGTAATACAAAATGGAATAGGTGTGGAATGAGAAAGTGAGATGTGCTAATTTATTAATAAAATTCTACTCACATAGCCAAGGAGGTCTTGTGCTTTATTTGATTGGCGGAACTTATTTTTCTTTCCAGAAATGATCTCTAGGATAAGCACACCGAAGCTGAAAATATCGGACTTCACAGAAAATTCTCCATGCATTGCATACTCGGGGGACATGTAACCACTAAAGACAAAAAAATGTATGCAAAATTAAGTAACATATTTTTTAGCTCTTTTAGAAACAATTCTTTTATAGAGTAATAAAGCATGCAAATAAAAATAATAGATTTTAGTTAGATTCATAACTTACTATGTTCCAACAATTCTATTAGTACTTTCCTTTGTTTGATCAAATGCAAAAATTCTTGCCATGCCAAAATCTGCTATTTTTGGACTCATATTTTTGTCCAATAATATGTTGCTTGCTTTAAGATCCCGATGTATAATTCTAAGGCGAGAATCTTCATGAAGGTAAAGTAGTCCCCGTCCTATTCCTTCCATTATCTTATAACGTGTTGACCAATCCAAAATATCTTGGCTCTCACGATCTGTTAGACAATGAGTCAATGACAACTTGTGCCAAGTATAAAGGAAATAATGAAATTTAAGAGGATGGAGATTTGAAGCTTACCAAATAAAAAGTAATTGAGGCTTTTATTGGGCACGAATTCATAGACAAGTATCTTTTCTTCAACCTCAGAGCAATATCCCAACAACCTAACTAAATTTCTATGTTGAAGCTTGGCAACTACTTCAACCTCATTTTTGAACTCTCGAACACCTTGTCCTGAGCTTCTTGAAAGTCTTTTTATAGCTACCTCTTGCCCATTAAAAAGGTTTCCCTAATGAATGAAAAATTAGGATAGATAAACATATAAATAATGAAGGTGTAATTTAGGGGGTCCAACTAAGAATTTATTAACCTTCTCATATATTGTTAGAGAATGTAGTACGGTTTGTCGGCTCATTCTTGTTGGGCTTGTAATTAGGTCATGGTCTTGTAGCTACTATAAATAGCGAATCTATGTGTAATCAAATAACTAAAGTTTAGATCTAATAATATTTTTTACATGGTATCGGAGCGAACCTGGGAACCTGAACCCTAGTTTGCTCTAATATGTTGCTTCAGTTGTCGCCGTCGCCGGTGGTTTGTCGAGCGACAGCAGCGTCACCATCAGATTTTGTTCTTGCCACAGTCTGATCGGCGCACTTGTGATCCAATCATCACTGTTGGTTCCCGTTCAGCATCACCACCTAATCTCTTTACCAAAATCAGATTAGTGTCACTGTAAAAAAAATCTATCTACATCGCCATGTGTTGCCCCCAAATTTGGATCCGTCAAAAACATTCAAAAGTTTTCCGCTGCCGTCGTTGGATGTAATATCGTCGATCTGTTCTTTCACAAAATCAACAACCGCTATAGTTTTCAGTTGTTCCGATCTCCTATGTGGTCGTGATTCATGGGTCAAGTTTGTGTCTGAGTGCACAATTGCATATTTTTTTGTGGTTTCCAATCTCCTTTGTGAAGATTTGGAGTTTAATTTGTGCCGATTGAAAACAAAAAGTCTAGTTTTGATTTGGATTGACTTTGCTTTTGCCCGCACTCCGCCGAAGAAGGTTTATGTTCGTTCATCCAATTTTGTTGACGTTTTGATGACATTGTTTTTGGTTGCCTTTTTGGTATGTTCAATCGCAACGAGTCGTATGTTCGACATGTCTGTTTGTGAGGTTGGTCGCATCGTCGGCCTCAGTCCGGTAACACGGCCTCCAAGTTTGGGATGCTTGTTAGTCGTCCCCGTGTCACCGCGTGGGAGTCATCCATCATCAAAATGTATTGTTCGTTTGCAGGGTCGGTCACCTTCGTTCGTTGTTATCACAGCAGATCAAGTTCAAGTTGTTTATCAAATTTTTTTTAGTCCTGCTTTTTTTAAATTGTCCAAGTTGTGCATTCGTTAACCTCGTGCTCAACCTCAGGGGAGTATTAGAAAATGTAGTAGGATTTGTCGTTGACGGGTTCATTCTTGTTAGGCTCATAATTAATCTATGGTTTTGTAGCTATTATAAATAGCGGATCTATGTATAATTAAATAACTCAAGTTTAGATCTAATAATATTTTTAACATATACGTATATCATAAATATTTACATGATGTCGTGAGAAGCAATTTTAGATGTACCTTAGGTGCACTTTGTCATATGACTACCACCACTAATTGATTTTTTTAAACGTATCACCAATAATGAATTAAGATTTTAATCATAGAATTAACTAGCACAAAATAAATGATTAAAGCTCTTTTTGACTTTTACTCACTTCATTTCATAATGTTAGTCAGAGTTTAAATTTTACAATCTCTAATATAATGTTTGATCATTCATATAGATAATTGATTAGTCGCACATCACAAATTCTTGAGAGATCCCGTTCACGCCAAATAACACAAATTATTTCCAACATAGATAAAATATAGTAATAAGCAAATTTGGTAAATTTTGACTATTAAATTCAAAATGGAATGCATATTACAAAAATGAGAAATTACGTTATGTGCATACCTTGTATACGAAACCATATCCACCTTGTCCGATTTTACATGAGAAATCATTAGTAATAGCTTGAATAGTAGTAAAATCATATTGGCATGACTCGCTTGAAATGCCATTTACTTCTGCGAAATAAGATGAAAATTATTACATTCATTCTCCCATAAAAAGGTTTTAATTTATTCTTTTTCTTCCGTCCTAAATGAAGGTTCTATGCTTTTTTTTGTAGGAATTTCTGTGATTTATGGAGTATATAATTTCTCCCATCTGCATTACTTTCAGCTGCCCAATATATGGTTTTTTAAATTTTGTGTCAAGCTAAATGTGAAATACTTTTACAAGACTAAAGAGGGTACAAGATTTTAAGTCACAATGAATGTTGATCAATATATTTGTCAAATTTTGATTTTTCTAGTCAAAATTGATAAACTTTAACCACAAATTAAATAAAAGTGATATTAGATATTGACACAAGAATAATTGTTCCTTCTTTTTTTTTTTCTTGTCTCACAAGCTCCTTCCTTTTTTATTAAAAAAATACTTTTATCTCTACTAATTCTTAATCTAACTATCATTTCATACTTTTGAAAAGTCAACACAGAAATATTCCTCCCTTAAATTTTCTAAAAATCAAAATGAGAACATCTTTATGGGGTTAAAAAATGATTATGATTGATTGTAAGAAACTAAAACGGTAGATAATTCCTACATTTCTAACCTGCACTTGGAGATATCCCATTTCTCTGTTTGGCACGTCGTCTAGTTCTCACAAGACATACGATTGCAATTGTGAACATAACCCCACTAAATGGAGCTATAGTTGCGACAATGGCCACCTTTGAACTAGATGGAGAAGCAAGAATATGCGCCGGCGGCGGTGGAGGAACGGAAGCCGCCGGGGCGGCCGCAATAGTGTTATAGTAGAAAGGGTACATCTCATACCTCACATAACAGCTTGGGAGCATATTCCTACAACCGATCGCCGGCGCCGTTAGGCCTTGTTTAGCTTTAGTTATGCATTCCTCGCAGTCGGCGTTGGACAGGTCCGGCGTACACTGCCCCAGAGTGTATATCGTCTCCCTCGAGTCGAACCTGGTTTCGTGCGTGGCAAACTTGTCGCTGCCGCCGCCGCCATCCTTCAACCGGTTGGCTAGATTCGCCAGCGAGATGCCAACCCACGTCATGAAAGCCTCTGGCCGGGAGTGATTCTCGGGACGGTACATAATGTTATGGACCGACACGTCGAGCCTCCCGACGATGGGCCTGTCCGAGTAGCGCAGCATGCAGAGGTCGTACCAGACATAAGCAGTCTTCTGTCTGGGACACAACTGCATGATGCTGTCCCGGGCATCGCTCACGCACGCCAGGCAGTAGCGGGCGAGGACGTCGCCGCCGCACATGAAGAGAGCGTACGCGGCGGAGTCCCCGCCGCTCCCGGCCGAGGCAGAGCTGAAGAGGCCTCTTTGGTTTGCGCGCGTGGCGTTTGAGGAAGAAAGGAGCCTCGAGAGAACGGAGTTGAGGTTGGAGCGGTAGGGGTCGTTTGGCGCGTAGAGAGTGGTGTTTGGGCAGTAATGGAAGGAGGACTGGGAATTCGCCCCGGTGGCGAGGAGGAGGAAGAAGAAGAAGAAGAAGAAGCCAAACGCAGACCAAAATAATCTCTGAGAATGATAACACATTGTAAAAGTAGTACTAGAAGATCAGATGAAGTAATATAATAATTCTGGGTTTTGAAGCTTTATTGATGGAAGAGGAAGATGATGACCAGCAAACACCCACAGGCCAAAATGTGAACGGGGCCAATATTATTCATACAAATATATGATGACCGGTTCAATTCAACGTTGGTCGAGGGGAATCCATAGCTAGCCGCCCACATGCATGAAGACTTCAACTTCTCTAGATTTAAGGTCATTACCATATACTCACTCACTTCCACAAATTAAAACTCTTCTTCTTTCGTTTTTTTGCTTTCCACAAAACACTTCCACTTTCTATTAAAAAACCACTTTTGCTCCTACTTTTTCATACCCTACTTATCACATCATACTTTTTCACTAATAACCAAACTATCACATCATACTTTTTCACTAATAACCAAACTATCACATCTTACTTTTTCCCATCACATCAGGGGCAAAAATGGAAAGTCAACCAAAATTACGCTTCTCCAAAGTCAAAACCGGAAGGATTTTGTGGAATGGAGGAAGTATATATTTTGTTGGACACGTAGCTGCTGCAATAGTAGTTGACCTACCCCTCTTTCCATATTTCTTTTTAGGAAGGAAAGAAAATAAAGGCAAAATATTTTAATACAATGATCCGAGACTCATACTGTTTTCATCGATAAAATTGATGATTTCTACCTCCCAACTTCCTCTTCCTTCCTTTCGCCCATTGACTACAGTGGTCATTAACAAAGTCCCGTGGGTTGGAAGGCAAGAAGAATTCAAGGAGAGGCAAGAACCATCGATTTTAATAACGGAGTCTTGTAAGAGACTCGGGGTCTGATAACATTGGAAGCCAGTCAGATGAACCGTGCGGACATTCGGAAGATTATTTTCCTTGCTTATATTTGGATATTTCAAGGCAGAAGAAAAATAAGCTAATTTTACTTTGTATGAATTGAAGAAAAATAACGCCATTTTGTTGGACGTTCCTTTTTATGCATTATGTATTTTAGTTTTTAAACTCCAAATATTATTTTCTCTTTTTTTTTGTTTTAAGGGTGTGTTTGGTTAGAGGAGAAATATTTTCTAGAAATATCTTGATTCTGTGGACTGTTGACTATTTTTATCCGCAGTGGTAGGTGTCCCTAGAGGACCCCAAAAGTTGGCATAGAAATACCCAATTGCTATGACCGGGTTAAGGGATAGGAACAATAAATTTTATGTTCTACAGCTCGCTAGGAACCATTTTGGAGTAAAGTAATACTCATTTTCACATGAAGCATAAGTGTTCGTTTTAGAGTAAAAGGGTAATCATTTTGAAATAACGTGGTTTCCATTTTGAATCAACATAGTGTTCATTCTGAAACAACGTAGTGCTCATTTTTACACATTTATTCATTACGATTATAATAATCATTCACGAATAGCGTAGTGTTCATTATGAAACAACGTAGCGTTACCGTTAATACCACCCGAAGCAATTCATGTGCTACTTACCTGCTGCCACGGGGTCACCTTCACTTGCTTTAATGCTTCACCTTGCTTGTTCCATCCACAGATTGAAGGGAGGAGATGGCTTTCACCTTGCTTGTGCACTGCCATTGTCGCACCTAGGGTTCGTCACACCTAGGGTTTTCCGTGCGTCACTTTGTAGCACTACAATTGCCGTCATCGTCGCACCTAGGGTTCGCTGTGCTTCACTTTGAAGTAGGTGCCCCAATTGAATTTGTGTAATAATCTTACACCAAATGTTTGGTGTAAGATTTCCTTCTCCCTCTCTCTCTCTCTATATTTGGTGGAACTAAACATGATATTTATTCATCCCATTTGAAGTAACCATTAGTACATAGTTTTACTGCAGTATTTGTAGTTGCACATACAAGTGTACAACATGAGTGAAGCTTACCCATAAGGAAATCCAAACACGGCATCGCACATTGTGTACTGGCAAAAAAAAAAAGCATTCCTTAGCTTCTTCACCCGTGCCACTTTGTTTTAGACAAGAGCACAACCAGACAAGCAACGGCGGCAACAAGAGCACCATATAGAAAGGCACTTCTCATCCTCTGCAGTTTTATTGGCAATGTACTGCATATATATGTCCATAACAGTCGCAATAGAAAATGCAATCCGAAACTCTTCTTAAATTTATGAATTGAGAAGTCGTAGGGCAACTTATCCTGCTCGGCTAGATGATCCACATGAAGCCTTACATTGGATGAAGCATGAATCCAGAAACCAGGGTCAACATCTGCATATGTATGAGCAACTATGTCAAACAGTGTTCTGGCTCCATTCTCCATTGCTTTCAAGATTGTCGACTCTCTCTTTCTCCGGTTCCTGAGATATCCACAGAGCATGTGTTTAGGCCACATATTAACTCTACCGTGCATGGGAATCAAGGCATGAGGTGAAAGCTTCAGAAACTTGTAGGTTGTCTGGAAGTAATCGCCCATATGTCCACCCGAAGTAATGTCTAAAACAGAACTTCCTTGGCCAACACAATGGTCACCCACGATCAAAGTGTTCGAACTCACATGAAGTAGTGCCAAGTGCCCATCAGTATGCCCTGGTGCTGACACGATTTTCAATCGTTCACCACCAATGCATATCTCCTCAGACCCAGATACTGAAACATACCCAAGAGACCAATCGCCTTTCTCGATTCGGTGCATGGTGTTTTCGTGCGCTAAAAGAGATGCATCGGGGTTGCATTTCTGGACCACAGAAAGACCATCAACATGATCATGATGGTGATGGGTTACAAACACGACCAGCTTTCTGGGCAATGCAGAAACAATCTCCTTCAGCTCATCGTACAAAGCAGACTTGCAACCCGGGTCTACTATCAGTGCTTCTCCATGAGCAGCAAAGCTATCATCAGAGCACCCATCGATATTCTTTCCAGGCACAAGCACTATTAAATTTGTGGTGCGAAAAGGTTTGCTTGTTCTACTCCCCATTGGCACAAGGGTAAAACCAGGAAGGTATTCCTGAAAATTCAGAGTTTGAGAGAATTTACAATTTCCAGATTCTGTTGAAGAATTGAGAAGACCCATAGTGACGAATTGCCCTATACGGTCCTCGTCGGGCTTTACTTCCATAAGCATGCTTCGGCACCTCTCAATGTTCATCCACTTAGAAAGCTCATTGAGATTTTCATTTCTACAACCCAAGATCCCAATGATATAGACAATCTCTGTGGGCAACCCTGGTCCGAATCCTGGCTCTTCCACGCACTTGTGAAATCTCCACTCAACCTTTGTGGGGCCGACAAATCCTAATTCTCCCAAAACCTGAATCAGAGCCGAATTGAGATCGAATTTACTGAAATCGAAAGAGTCCGACTCACACCGGTTGACATGGAAGGGAACTTCAGCCGCCGATGTCGGCGTAAGGGGAAGAAGATGAGCGTACGGCAAGTCCCAGAGGTCGGAATCGGCGAAGGAATCGTACTCGGGGTCATTGAATTTGGGAGGCGGGGTCTGTTTCACGAGAAGAAATTCGGCTTCGTTTACTGGGTTTTTGATGATCGCGACTAGAGTGTGAGTCGCCATTGAAGATCACAAGACCATGAGATCCGGGTGATTATTTGGTGATTCAGAAGGGCTACGGACTTGCGGCATGTTTGAATTTTGATGGTAAGAAACTATACAATTTTCATATCTTCACACTTCTCAAATTTTAATCATTTTCTTTATTTATTTCGGTTAGTTAAAATATAGTCATGTCACCTCTAATTTTGTAGATAGTTTGATGTAATTTTTAAATATATATTTTTTATTTATTAATTTTACATCTATAATCAAATAAACTGAATTGAAAATAATTTCACTCAAATCTCGTAAATTAAACTGGGAATATCATTTTAGGATGGGGGAGTATGTATAGTATAGCCATTTTAGATGCATCATATAAAGGTTACAAAACAAGACAAATTCTTCTGTGGACCTGAAGTTCATGCTAATTTTATAGACTTTAGTTTATTTTTGGCATAAAAGAAATAATCTTTTTACAAAGGAAATATTTATATGCAAGCCCATGAAAAATGCAAAAAGATCAACATTTTTTAAATGTCGACCTTCAAATCATGTAAGCATCACTTGACAAACAAACACATAGTACTTATTACTTCCAGTATTTTTATAAATACTTTCAAAAAATGTTTTTTATTCGAGAAGGTTTATAAAGATGGTGTGAATGCTTCAACATGTTAGTGGATGAGATAGGAAGAGGGAAAGAGAGGCGGAGGTAGAAAGGCGGGGCACATCAGACCTGTGCAAATAAGGATTTGGACCGAATCTAGACCAGGCTTGATACAAATTATTAGTCAATTTACATGGACGGCCCTGGCTCGGTCTGAAATTAATGGACTAAACTCTTTACACATACCCACCCACCTTAGTGGGCCGAACTACCTACCGGGCCGCCCGGCCTGGATATAACATCAAAATATCTTTTTTGCATAAAAAATTCAAAAAAAAACATTGAACTCTTTTTTCAATGTTTAAAATAAATTACCAGTCACCACATTTACATAGAAAGCATAATAGAAGTATTGTTGCATAATTAATAAGCCAAAGATTAATAAGCATAATAGAAGTATTGTTGCACAATAGGAGTACTAATTCATTAAAAGATTATTGATTTTTGTTAAATAGAGATGAATGAATTGAACTGTTATACATGAGTTATAGAAAATTATAAAATTTATATTGGCTATGTAATTAATAATAAAGTACATGTATTTGATGAATATGGGCGGGCCTATTAGCCCGAATGGACTAAAATTAACTCCCAGATCCGTCCAAATACAATTTGGGCTCGGACCGGTCCATCCAAGTGGATATTAAAGGGCGGATTGGGTGAGCCGAACGGGCGGACCCTTGTTTGCACAAGTCTGGGGCAGATCTATGTGAGGGGGAATATAAACTGCAATTTATTCCATAGAAGAGAGGGGAAAAGAGAAGTGGGTGAAGCGCAGAAAGATTCTATTTAAAGATGAAGGGTAAACTTGTAAATAGAAATCTTGTTTCGAGTATTAAAACAGAGATCCTACTTTGGGTATACCCTCTAATGCCCTCTATGCTTTGGTGCTAGGTTGATTTCTTTTGTGAAATTACTAAACTCCCGTTTAAAATTATTTGAACATAAAATATCACACAAAATTTTGTACTAGGAGATGGTTCATTGACATAATTTCTTGTTTTGCATTAAGGATCTGCAAGCGCTATTCTCCGAAATTTAAATACGTATGTTGGTCAAAGTTAGGAGACTGAAACGACAAGGTGAAACAAATTATAAATGAATTTTTCATATACTCCTTGATAATTATACATCCAACTATCAAATTAGCATCCTTTAGGGGGTAGGAAGTAGGAAGTAGGAAGTATCGATGTTTCCAACAGAGCCCTGGCTCAGGTCATCCTATGACATTCGGCGCCAATGTCACATGAACCGTGGTGTTTTTTCAGTCATAATAAACAACAACAATAGCTTAAGTTTTATGCCTGAGGAATGGACCTTTCATGGCAATCTCCATCCACGATCTGCAAGTGCATTTATCACAGCGCCGGCACCCTCTTTGGTATCATTCAGAGGAGAATATGTCCACCTCTCTGTAGATATCTGAGTGATGAACACAGAGTTAGTGGGAGAACTCTCATCTTCAATGTCCTCACTCCACAGACTAACAAAGCATGTGAACAAAGCAACTTACATTCTCTTTTCCCGTGAATGGACGAACCATGCTTCGCTCGCGAAGGGATCTGTGGAACTCTGTAAATTTCCATGTGCATCGCTCAGCTCCAATCACATAAACTGGCTTCCTGCATCCATGTTTGGTTTACTTAATGAAGAAGATGATGTGGCTTAAACCTTTTGCAATGCAAGTAAAAACTACATGGTTCATCAGTTTTTATGGTGTTTGACAGGTACAATAGCAATAACAAACCCTGTATAATCACAACTACGTTGTGGTCTAGCGGGTCAAGATGCATGCAACCTTGCCATTATACAAGAGATTGGTTGTTTTCGATAGACCCTTGATGCATTGATGCATTTACTTCCCAAAACTTCATATAAAATAAGAAGGGTTGTTTAACATGCCATTTTATCTCCATTAGCAATGGACAATGGTGTTTGACGGGTAATTATCTACTCGTTGTCATGATTTAGTTGCCCACTTTCTTGTTTCCACTTGTGTGGAATTAGTTGTCAACTATCCATGTTCAATAAAGAATTTATGATGAATTGTCTAAAATATCCCAAACATAGAGTATGAGCATTGTTAACATGTGAGAGTATTTAAGAGTGTTGTGTAAGATACATGTGGCCGAAATGGTACAAGATACATGGTACCACTGTACCACAGTATTACACTAATGAGTTTATTGTTAGAATGAGTGCCCAGCATTAGAGAGGGGGAAACAAAAGGGTTGAACTCATGCATTCCAACATTTAGGTTTCTAAACTTTACAATACAATGGCATATAGTTGAGGTACCATAATATAAATTACCATAGAAAAAGTCTAAGAATGGATTCTACCGTTCAGAAACTAATTAAATCCTAGGATCCTACAAGCACACCGCCACATGCCTATGAAAATCTTGATCTTTATCATTCCATCTCAAAATTACAGTTCTAACTTTTAATTTTGATGCTCAACTCAGAACCATAATTATGTCAAACACCCTTTTAGGCATAAATAAAACAGGCAGGGAAGGAAATTTGAAAACCAAAGACAAAAACTGACAGAATGGGACTCAAACTATGATTGACACACATAGGGCATACCCGGTACTGCAAGCCTCACTCAACATGCTAATTGAGTCAGCCGTGATGACAAACGAATCTGCCAAGGCTAAATGTCCCATATGTGGATTTGGACCTGAACAACATGATGTCAAGTTCTGTTCAACGCAAGGCTTCACATTCCATTATTTATCATCATTGAGTGAACTGGGTGGGAATTGATGGACATAATAATAGTGATACCTTCCCCACTCCAAATGTAAACTTTAGGATGATTTCTTAGTTTGCACACTATGAGATCTGCAACCTATTTGCAACAGCATTAACAAGAATTAGCACATGGAAAATTGACGAATGATGTGTCTGTTTCGCCCGCTGAACTGAGAAGATGATAGCTAGACACTGAATGCCAATAACAGGGAAACTGGTTGGAAATGCTTGATAAAATTACTTGTATAATAGATGGTGAGATTGATGACAACAACAATGCCATTTGCAAAGAGATATATAAGATGCATTTCATGTATCAGTAAAAGATGGATGAGAGATATTGTGACTTCAGGGTGAAAACTCAGTGAGTCTATGGGTGAAGAGGTTCATTGGTGTAAAAAGGGCATTTCCATGGGTTTCAGATACTAATATGCTATGGGTGATCCTTTTTTTTCTTCACAAAAGAGCATATTTTGAGCTCCTATTTTGTTTACAAAGCATCATACTTGGCTTATTTAGAGCTTAAAATAAGCAATAATCTCCTTAAATAAGCTCTACCATACACGCACAAAAGCAAGACAGTCAAGCCTACCATCTTGGGAGTTCTGCGTGAAAAAGAAATCCTGACACTACCACAAGTTGGGAGAACATTTTGCAGTGATGATATTAGCTCATTTGCCAGGTCTTCACCGTATTTACAATGAGCTGTATAACAAATTGTTAGGATATAGGAGGAAATTGGGCACACTAGACGTCAAACTAATATATGTGCATTCCACGTATGTAGATACATACACGCAAACAAAAAAAACTACACAAATTAAAAATAGTGTATGTGTGTGTTTACTGCAGATTAAAAATAGCATTTTCTGATTGTTTTAAATTCCAAGAAGTTTATTTCTTTTTTACTTCTTAAACTTCCTGTACATGGGATTCTTTACAAAAAAAAAAGAAGCTCTACACTCCTAGGTAGAGATAAGGTTTGCATACATCTAAACCTCTCCAGACCCAACTTCTGAGTGGGACATACTGGGTACGTTTGTTTAGATTCACCTACACAGATTGCATTATACTGGCATATACAACAACAAACCATCTTTTTTATGACAACAAGTTCATTAAATGAATACAACTTCGACTCATGTTTTCCACAAACAGATGAACTGAATTGCAGGCCTTAATCACACTTTATTATGAAGAATGTGCCAAAAATTTTAAAGTGTAAGTAGGTCATTATTTCTTCTGTTCTGTAAAAAGACATAATCAAGAGTAACATAATGAAATTTGGATGCACAAAGCTTGCCAATAGATCCTTTAATGTTCACAACTTACCAATAGGTCCCCCAATGTTCACAACAAGCAAGGGTTTTGGCAGCAGTCCAATTTCATCATGCCATGCAGAAGCAGCACTTTGCAGTGAGCTAAAATCTACCTGATGAAGGGATCCCAAAGTGAGGACCTGCATTTTTTTAAATCTTGTGAGGCTGAACTGAAGTGGTAGTCAACTAGTTTCTACATAATAGCGGTATTAAATGAACTACTCTAAAATATTTCCAAGCAATGATTTATGTTTTGCAACTATTCTATTGCAAAATAATAAGAAAAACATACCACATGCCCTTCTCGAGGGTTATAAGGTGTTATCCACCTTCGAATAAGTGAAGGAATCTGCTTTTGCCCCTCAGGTGTGAATGTAAAATAATCATGTCGAGGTGTGATGACAAGATCAAACCTACTAAGATGTGACCTGGGGTGTTGTATCTGGAAGCAAAAGAAACAACATTTCAATTCTCGAAGCTTAGCATAAATTAAAAAGAAGAAAAAATAATAATAGTGTGGGCTCGGTATGCACTTCATTTTAGTTCAGAAATAAATTAAGTATACCGATTCATTGATGTCACATGAAATTTTTCATGCAAGGGAAACTTATAGTGTTCCTTCAATAAAAAGTTGCGACAGGAAGGGCATCTCATGTAAAACATTGCTACTATGCTTTTTGGGATTAAGGTGGTTGTGGTGGTGATCAAATAGCAAGCTATTGATTCATCAACCTGGACAAGAAAAACATTTTCTGGTGCTAACCGCTTTATGGAACTTGCAGTGGAAATAGTATCTCGTCCTGATGCAACCACCAACGTAGGTCCCTCCCTAAAGATGTTACAAAATGAAAGGCAATGAATAGAGATGATAGAGCCATATAATAATAATATATTGTGTTCAATAAAATTGGTAAGGTGAAAAAAGAGGCAAACAATATATTTAGAAAAAGAATCTTTGAGAATTTTGTCAAGCTGTGAATCCTTTAAAAAGTGTTGGATGCTAGACAAGACCCCAGCCTTCAATCAACATGTACAAAATAATGTTTTTATAGAAAAAAAATGTTTGGTTACCAACAGGCATTCATGGAGTATATAGAGAAAGGACTATTTATTCCTTGGTAAAAGAATATGCGTTGAATAGAGAGAGAGAAGTTCATTGTTTAGTTGCTACTAAGGTAAGGCCAAAATTGTTGGGAATAAATATGCAATTGTTTGGTTACCTTTGGAATAATTAAGGAATAAGTAGTATAAATACCAAAGTGACCCTATATCATTTTTTCTTGAATAACTACGCATATTTTTAAGGTAGCTTAGTCGAACGTATTCATGTTTTTCTTCCTAATAGAAACGGAAGGATTATTTTTTCTTCAAATAGAAGCAAAAAATTATTCCGAGGAAGACCAGATCTTATCCTACCAAACAAAAGGAAACTCCTTTATTCAGAATAAACAAAGAAAGGAAAAGGCTCTCCATCCAGCCAAACAACCTTATAAAGTACAAGACAAAAAATGATCCGAGCACATACTTCTCAAAAGTTTCATGAGCAGCTCTAGCAATGTTCTCAGCATCAGCTTCTGCAATACCTGAAACAACAGTTCAGTTGAAATTTTCAAATGTATCACATTCACATAGCATATTCAGGCTTTATTCAGTACATACCGACCTGTTTGATTAGCAGGAAAACTGGTCACCTTATTCCATTTGTAACAAACTCGTGGCTGTAAATCCCCGTGAATCCACTTCATGGCATGCTCTAACTTTTTGTGGAGAGAAACCGGCAACCAACGAAGCCTATCGTTAATTCCTCCCCGAGGCCTAGTGACTCTCTGCACAGGCATAGCATGCTCGGTAAAAGGTTAACTTAAAAATCAGCTGAACATTTTTTTTGCAAGCTGATCTGAAAACCAATCATAGAGGTTCCAATCAAGCATTAAGAGGGTGTTTAATGTGTTCAACCCAATCAAGTTTTCAAGAAAGTATCATGAAGAGCGGATTTCCAATTATTCGCATCTCTCTATATCACTATAGTCCTTCCTTTATACACACTATCGTGGACTTAAGAACCACCGTATACCTAAGTTCCACCATGTACCTTGTCACAAATCAATAAAATAACAAACAACAAAAAAATCAATACAGATTCTTATAACAATTCATTGGTTGCATCCGAATGTCCATGATTCTCATAAGAATTAACCCTTAGATCCATATAAGAATTTACCGGAGCGTGTTACCAACTGTCATCACCATGTTACAGAATCTCTCGAGAGGGAAGTTTCTTTTCTAAAACTATTCAATTATAAGCTTATTCACTCAGCTCAGTTAAATGCACCTTAAGACACGAATTTAAAAGGTTGAAAGAAATTGAAATTTAAAAAAAAAAAGCTGAAATGAATGAGCAGAGGCTCGTACGTAGAGAGTATGGCGACGGGATAGGCCGAGAGCTCGAAGTAAGCCGAGGCACTGATTCTCTGCGCCGGCGACGCCGTTTCCGATAACCACTGCTTTGCTAACGGCTCGCATTTAGCTCTGTCTGCAAGTCGAAATCAAATTCAAAATGACGGGGATACTGGGCTTTGGAATCTAAATTTGGAAGCGGCTTTGTCATAGGGCATCTCCCATAGCAGTGTAGAGAAGAGTATGAGGAAGACTTTCTTCCTCATATGCACAACAATGAAGAAATTACAGTAACCAAGCCTTTAAATAAGTTTTGAGTCGATTTATAAATATTTTTTAAAACTATTTATAAATATTTTAAGTCTATTTCTGATCTAATTTTAATAAAAATAAATTCTTATATACTCCATCCGTCCCAAAATATTTGTCATATTTACTTTTGTTTATTTCTACGTTTTCATTGGTTATTTGATAGAATAAAATATTCTTGACACCTCTTATTTTGAAGAAATTTTCATGTAGTTTTTTGATATGTAAATTTCATTTTTTTTTATTTCTATACCAATATATAAATAAAATGAATTGAAAAAGTTTGATATTTTACCTCGACAATACAAGTGTGACAAATAATCTGTCATATATGTTGACTTTGATAACATGTCAATTTTACAAAGATTAGATTCTACTTAATATAACGAGTATATATACCTTAAACTTCCAATAGATTATAACTACGGAGAATTAATATTCAAAACAACTTCCACAATCAAATCATTGACTTACTTTTATAAGTAATGGATCAAAATGCATAGCCATTAAATTCAAATATTTCTATAGACATTTTTTCATCTGTAAATTATTTTAACTATTGTGGTAATTCAAAAAAATTGAAATTGTAAAAATAATTAATTTTTATTTTTAATTTTAAAAATTATATAAAGTAAAATACTATGTAATTAACTTTAAAAATCATATAAAGTGAAATAATGTGTAATATTTTATGGATATTTCTTACACCATCGTCATACTTCAACTTCTCTGTAATTAATTTTAAAACTAATATAAAGGGTAATATTTAATTAATAAAAATATAATTCTATTGATTTTAACAAAACCATAACACTAAATAAATTAAAATAACCACCCAAAATAAAAAAAATAAGAATAAACATAGTAGAGAAAAAATGTGATGACTTTTTAGATAAAATTGTATTATCGTTTCAAAGTAGTAGTTGTTATACAATTTTTACACTTTCTGTTGCATCATTCTTATTGAAAAATTATGTAGTAGATTATTGAAAATAAAATTTACATTGCTATGATAGAAAAGATTTTGTAATTTGAATTCTTTTTATGAATTTTCAAAATAATAGGAAAGAAGTATGAAAAAATATTAGCTATGGCGTTTCATAAAACAATTAGTGTATTATCGTAAAATATTATATTGTATACAAGTTAAAGTTCGTAGTGAATAATTGAAAAAAATTATAATGCTATTTTGGATTAAACGTATATTTATATTTTAAAAAATTTTAAAGGGATGTGATATTTAAAGTTTTAAGAGCCAAAAAAATTAAATTACAATACTTATAATGATTATGATGGATCTTACAGGTACATGATATATTTCCATTGATTTAAACAAAACAACAATACCAAATAAAAGAAAACAAGAATCCAAATAAATAATAAAAAGAAAAATAATAGAAAAAAATTTGTGATGGCTTATCAGATAAAATTGTAGGGTCGTTGCATAATTGTAATTGGTGTGTTAATTTCACAGTTTTTGTTGTGACTTTATAATACGTATCTTTATATACGGAGTATAAAATTTGAGAGTTGAGCTTCCTGAATCGCGACACGTCGCAGGTCTACATGGCAACTTTTTTACAAATCATCTGACACCTATGATGACTTATAACATGGCAATTTTAATTTAAAATGTGGAAAAATTTGTGTAACACCCTTATCCATCCAGGTCTGCAGCCCTTTCAGACTAAAGTATCAACTTAATAATCGTAAAAATTTAAAACAGTTCAAACACTTTTACTTATCACAAAAATATTTTTCATAACTGAAACATTACAAAATTTTCAATGTTGCGGAGACTTAACAAAACACAATCACAAAACATAATTTATTTATGTTCTTCACTTCAGAACCTTCACATCCATCTTGACTATCTCGCCTCTGTCTGCCTCCAGGATCATGTCACATCATTCTTTCTATTTACCTGCATGTAGCAAATAAAACATACTATAAATTCAACGTTAAATCTAAGTAAGAATATCTAATGCATCGAACATCCATATAAATTGATTCTCAATTCATAATAAAATCATTTGATATCATGGACATAATGTTCAATTCAAATATTCATCATTCATGTTTTTGATATTGTTCAATTCATATCAGTACATGTTATTCAGTTCAGATATTCAATATTCATTATTTCGACAGTGCTCTTAAATTATTCTTAATCTAAGGCCAATAATTACAACGCTCTTAACTAAGGCCAAATCATAATTATGCTCTTAGCTATTATTATTCTAAGGCCAAATCATAATTATGATCTTAGTTATTTTTAGTCTAAGGCCAAATCATAATTATGCTCTTAGCTATTTCTAGTCTAAAGCCAAATCATAATTATGCTCCGAGCTATTCTTAGTCTAAGGCCAAATCATAATTATGTTTTTAGATATTCTTAGTCTAAGGCCAAATCCATATTTCCATAATGAGACTCTTAGAGAGCAATCAGTAACCAAACGCTTAAACTATAATTAGTTTAAGGCAAATAAATTTCCTAGCGCTTAACTGTAGTCACTTAAGGCAATACTTTTCCTAACGCTTAAACTATAATTAGTTTAAGACAATTGATTTCCTCACGCTTAACTGTAGTCAGTTAAGGCAACAACAAAATAACTATTAATCATCGTCGGATCAAGGTATTCCCAAACGAGTGGTCCTCTAGTTTGGTCTATGAATCCTTTTTACATGTTTTTATCCAAATCACTTATTAAACATATTTACACACACAAGTTCATTCTAATCTGAGATATATCTTAGAGGTCTTCTAGATAACCTTAGTAATACACTAATACACATTATTTTCTTGCTCATCAATCTATTCATTTTGAATCATGGTTCATTAATTCATAATCGTCATTTAAATCGGGATGTTGGTTGTGGGTTGTTGGTTGTTTGTGTCAGCTATTCTGAATAGTTTTTTAGTTTAGCTTGTTTGACCAGTTGATTGTGTTGGCTGATCGTTAAAAATGTTTGGTAAAATTAGCTTTTTGAGAATAGCGATTTCGAGAATATATATATATATATATATATATATATATATATATATATATATATATATATATATATATATATATATATATATATATATATATATATATAGACACACACACACACACACACAATATTTTATTCATTTTTGTACATGTAAAAGTTAAACCTTTAATAAATGGAGTACTAAATTTCACTCTCATATAATTCATAAAAAATTCATAGTATATAACTTTTTAATGATTTTTTTCTTTTGATTTTCTCATCAGATATATTTTGATTCTTAAATTTTTAAATTTTTAAATTTTTTATTTTTTATTTTTTTAACTTTTAATTTTTTACATATATTATTGAATTTCTTTCAAGAAAAATAATTAAAAAAATTATTTTTTCTAACAGCCAAGTCTAAAAGCTACTCCCTTTGGTTTTTCAGATTTTCACTTTTCAGATCAAACAATCAAGTAAAAGAAATTTTAGCCAAATAATGATTTTGGATGTTCGATTAGTCAAAAACGTCAAAGTCAGTCAAAGATCCTAGAAGCTATCCGAAATGCCATTTTCTAAACACAACCAAAAGCACATTATATCTTATTTCCATATAAATTTAAACAAAAATAAGGGGAATTTAACATTTTGACCGATTTTGATATCATGTTTTTATAGATATACACTAATAATATTCTCTCCATCTCAGAATTATCTTGTTGTTTGTTTTTTCTTGATAAAAAATTTCTAGCTTTGATCATAAAATATGAAAAAAAATCAATTATAATAGACTTTTTGAAAATGAAGTTTAATAATATCAAATTTGTATAGTATAAAACTATATATAAATAGAGATATTAATTATCTAAATAAAATTATATCTACTGCTATCATTTGTGTTTGTGAAGATTTTTTCGGTCGACTAAAAAAGGCTTGGCTTTTGCTCTTTCCGTTTGTTTTTGCTATGTCTCCGAAGCAACAGACCATTAAACAAGCTCCTTAAACTTTTGTAGTCGGAACTCAAATTGTGGGTGACATGATTTTTGTTTTTCACATACTGACTTTTGAAATGTCAGCTTTCAGTGAGCATTGGTTTTTATCGTACTGGCTTTTGCTTTTTTCGATTCAACACAAGTTTATTCGTGGAGAGACTAACTCTCGGTATGACGAGCAGATAATTATGTGTATGTCTAAAGATTGCCGGGAGTAAGAAATTTCAAAATTTTGGAATCCCCACGCGCCACAACTCTAAGATCTAAGTGGGCATTGTGAAGTAGATAAAGGCAGGGAGGATCAAGGGGTATATCCAAGCTCGATTCTTGGTAACAGCGCTGGGAGACAACTATACTAAGCATACGACCTTTGCAAGTATCAGATCCAGACTTCAATCTTTGCTACCAATTTGTAATTAAAGTTCAATTTACCTTCACCTAGTGAATGTCCGGCCGTGTCTGAGGGAGCCCTCGGAGACGAGTAAATATACCATACATCGGGGTGTATGACATTTCGCATACATCCACATGAATATTCATTGTTGAGTTACTAAGTACTTATTTTTGAGTAACTAAATACTTATTTTTGAGTAATTGAATAATTGAATTTTAGAGCATTATTGAATTTTAGAGAAATGGATATTCAGTTACTCATTCGAGTTACGGAATTAATCGTAAATGACCCTTGAATTAATAACATTCACTTACTCGAAATTGGCCTGAATATGAATTACTCCTTGTGGTATTTTATGTTTATTTTTACGTAAACGAATACGTCCATTCCGACTTCTCGGGATTAATTTTACCATAGTTTAGCTTTTTTTTTTTATTTACCCTTCAATTAATCGTAAATGACTCATTGTCACCGCACGAAAAAAACAATAGAACTAGACAACTAGTTGTACTCTATATTGTGATCGCTATGGGTACACCAATAGGTTTATCCTTGTTTTTTTTTAAAATCTAAATGCAAATCTGAACGCCAACTCGTCGTAGGCCTCTCCTCCACAGCCCACC